TTCGTCCACTTTCGTGAATAAAATAGATCTTAGAAAAACATTCATAATGTCAAATGTGCGCTGAAATTTTACTTCACAAAATGTAGTCCAGAATAGTAAATATTTAAAAACATTTCATGTTTTGCATCCTTCAGTCAGTCAGTCTGTGGTAACTAATACCTAGGAATGAAAGTATTCTTAGTTTTAAAACAAATAACTAAACTTGTAAATTGTCACTGACAGCTTAGTTAATCCATGAAAGCGGCATTATCTTTCGAAAAAAAAAAATCGTTCCATGTTTTCAGCATTGAGACAGCTTCTTGTCTCACTAAAGGTACTTCCAGCTGTACTAAATAGACGTTCACTTGGTACACTCGTAGGTGGTGCACAAAGATAACGCTTGACAGTATGAATCAAGGTATGAAATCTTGACATGTTTATTTGCCACCAGTCCAGAAACGGGTGTAAGGTAACCACTATTCGTATTCGGCCCGACCGCAACTATTCGGCCGAATACCGAATAGTTGTTAGGTCCACTATTCTGCCCCGAAGCGAATACGAAGCGAATATTCGGTACAGCCCTAATATATACACGTACACACACACACGTGTGTGTGTGTGTGTGTGTGTGTGTGTGTGTGTGTGTGTGTGTGCTGTTTCTATGTTTAGCAAAACTTCGCTAACGAAATTTTGCTCAAGAACATTAAGCTAACATGAAAAGCATTTTGGCTCCCACAGAAATCCTTTTTCCCCCCTAACATGAATTCGTGCATCAATCTCTTTAAATTCACGGTAAAGAGATTTCATTGTATAAAAGAGTAAATTTTAATTAGAAATTGTCCATGATTATAAAATGTGTATCACAATTAACTATCTTCTTGTGTTTTCAAGGTTGGCATGACCATGAAACCCAGTGAAGTTGGCTGCAAGAAGACGGTGTACAAGGGAGTCTTACTGGGCTATGGCCCACGCCAGGGAGAAAAAGTTGTGGCCAAAGCCTTTACTGATATCCCTGGTACTAAGGACAGCTGGAAATTTGAGCTGAATAAAGCAGATGTTACCAAAAACCTGGCCGCAAAATTTCTTCAGGAATTTTCCTCATCGTTTTCAATTAGAGTAAGTTGTCATTTTTATTTTAAAAAGTACATGGGACAAATAGAATTAAAGTAACAGTTAAGTTTACGTTTTCAGGTAGCAATTGTGATTGCTAAAAAAAAAAAAAAAAAAACATTATTATAAGCATTGGCAAGACCCATGGAACTCTAAAGTGTATAGTTTTGAAACCAAGTTACGTATTTTCAATTCTGTTATTTCAGTTTTAACATATCACAGTGAAAGTTGGTGAACCATCACAGATATGGAACGAAAGTTTAATGTATTTGAAAACAAATGCTTGGGAGAAATGATTGAACTTAAATGGGAGGAATTAAAAAGGAGTTAATTGTACAAGTTACAACTTGATTAAAAGATAATGTTAGCAGTCGCAAACCACACTCGATCACCTAAACAATTGCTGGTAGAGTGTCTAGGGCCTCTTCTGTTCCATGTCCGCTGATGCCATCACCTTCAAAGCATTGCGCCTTTTCCCTAATCTTTAAAAATACCTCTTCCACTTGGTATTTGAAAGAGAAACTCCTGTAAAACGTAATTATTAGATATTTTAATGAATTATCTCTCGTTATATTTCTGCCTTTTATTGTGATGTCCGACAACACAGCTCTGACAATTCTATTATTTAAAGAACACCACAACACTACTGCCTTATCTGGGTTGATGATCGAACCTGTTTCTTCACACCGCTCGCTTAACTACCGCGAAATGCGGTTCTCTAGATATTTCTCAGGGAGCTCCGGGGTCTCGAGTGCTAGAGGTTCCGGGTTCAATCCTCAGTAAGGGCCGGGATTTTATCGCGTGGACTTGGACTTCTAGTAATTCACCCTGGTCTCTAGGTAGTGGGGTCGGACGCCCGTGTTCATTGCTGCGCATGTAAATAATCCCTTGGCAGTTGGAAATCGAAAGGAGTAGCCTAACGGCGCTGCCTGGGCAAAATTTGGAGTTAAAAATCTACCCAAAGTATTTCAGGATTCTCGCCGGCGCTACAGAGCCTGTGCACTGTGCTGAGCTTCTCCGGACTCAGACTTAAGTTAAAAAAAGAACGGAACATGTATGGGTTACTACCATTATGTTGATTGCACTTGTCCCTTCCTCAAAAGCCAAAGAAGATATCCACTATTGAATCTGCCAGTTGCAACTTTATTGAAATTAGAGCTGTCTTATCATCATCATCAACAGCAGCAGGTCCTTTACAGAACGTCGCTCTCGCCACAGCAAACTTGTAAGTCTCTTTCTCTAGCCGATTCTCCAGCCCTAGTACTTTCATAGGCAATGCATCCCGGTGTGACAATACGCTCGGTGACTCCAGAATGTCTTTCCTCAACCTACTTTTATTTGTATGTATTTTGAAGCATACAGACAAATAGGGATTTGGATACATCCTTAATCAAAGTAAGACGACCACATCACACCTTTAATTCTCCTGGACCGTTGGTCATATCAAACACTAAAACTTTTCCCCAGTTGTTAAGTGTTGAGGTACAGAGATAAGACTGACCAAGCAGACTTACTGACTGGAGATTTGCACACCATTTGTTGGTGTCAGATAGTTATTCCCCCTGCCAGATCTTCAGGAACAGATAACAAGGGCTAATTGCCATTATCTCCCCCTGAGGTTACCTAAACTGGAGTACCGGTCCGACGGTCACTATTGACACAGTGAGCGGAAAGTGTTGGCAGAAGAATTGACAAAGTCGGATTTTATTGTGATGACAGGTGAAGTAGACATAGAGGTGTGACTTGTCTTATTTGCTCTGGTCAGATGAATTGACCAGGAGATCCTAGCGTGGGAATTCAAACAATTGTTGTACAGTCACTGACTGACAGCGAATAAACTTGCCCACAGGGGAGGAGCTATGACATCCTTGAATGAGAATGATTTTAGGCGTAATGTAGGAGGAGCTTGATAAAAGTTATAAAGGGCTGAACTTAAGGTCTGGTAAATGAGATCCTGTCCAGCACATGGCATCTGTTGGGCTCAACCTAAGCTTGAGACAGAACTTTTGGCATTGTGGTTTCATTTTTCCAGGTAAGATCGAAATTAGGTTCAAATCTATATTTTATGATAGAGATCTAACTGTCTTTTTACTCAAGTGTGTGTCTTCATCACTTTGTAGTACTCCTAGGCGGACATTTCTTCATTCTCGTAGGGCACTGTCACATTGCTTTATTTCCTATTTGATAGTGTCATGAATGTTTTTCGTGTACATGTGTTTCAATGTTGTAAAACCTAAATGTTGTTGTTGCCATTGAAATTTAATGAACTATCATGTTTTTGAACTCACAAAGCGTGAAGATAACTTTGGCAATCTTTTCACGTGTGGTTAATGTGAATCTGTATTACATACAGCTAACACACTGAAATGTGTTTAACTCTCGGGAGGCTAATGCGGAGATTGATCCCGGAGAGTAAATCCACGAGATTTCTTATTCCATTCGCCTCAGAAATATTGTTAGCTTTCTGGGCGCGTCGATTGTTCCAAGCATAGATTCAAGAACTGGTTCCGTCTGACTGATTGTCATTTTGAGTCTGTACGAGAGATGGCACCTGACGTAGAAGACTTGACTATCATTACAGGACGTGTAGAGGAAGGCAGAAGATGTAACAGTTGGAATGTGAGACATAAGCCCTTCCAAATTGGACAGGAGTGAATGTGAGCATGAGGGAGAGATGAAATGTTTTATTTAAATAAACATGCTTGATGTTAGTATAATATACCTGCTTAGTGTAATCTAGAGCAGATACTACAAATATGCGCTTGTTTCTTCATTCTCCAGTTCCCACATTGGGCAGGGACTAGTAGGCATCCATTATTGGCCGACCGTCGAGTGTAACGACCTGCAGAAAGCAGTGAGGACGACAAACTGGAAAAGATAGGCAGGGTCTCAAGCCGAGAACTGTCCTGACGGTGAATTCTCCTACTAGGAGTTAAGTATATGTACAAACTGTCATCATTCACGTCATTCCAACTCTACTAGCCTAAACAAGTTCATTTTAATTTCGATTTATTCAAATAAATCATGTGTGATGAGTTTCATGATAGTTGAGTAAATTGTGTACTTAGGTTCAAGTGTCTTTGTGCATATTAGTTTACTTCAGCTAACAAATATTTAAATCACTTGATGGGGGCTTTTAAGTAATGCCAGGAGAGGAGAACAGTCGGAGGGGTTAACTGAGTATCCTGATATTATCTCAGTGGGTTCATCTTGATCTCTATCTATCCCTTCTCCTACTCCTGTGGATACAAGTACAGCAACTTTCATTTCATGGAACGAGCCACTCGCTGTTTTCTTGGCTATCCAGGACTGTCTAGGATCAACATAGCTTAGATAATAGTCCAGTTTCTCACGTGGGTGGGCATTGTTAAGGATCAAACCCACACCCTCACTATATCAGTGTATTTACCCACGTGGGCGCGCGACACCCGGTCTCCTGTATCCACATTCGCGGAGGTCTCCTCCGTCTCGTTTTCCACAAACTGTACCGAAAACATTACGGTTCTCCCCAGGTCACCGTTACATTTAATCTGGCCAAAATACCTGACGCTTGCCTGGTAGGATCGAGGTGGGGATCTTTTATATACAGAATAAATTGGCTTTGGCTTCCACACTCATCAACATGTGCCACGCCGGTAAACGTGGCTGACGTGTATCGCCATCTCACGTGATCAGGTAATCATGCTTACCACACCTACACACTATGCACTTACAATCAGTATAAGCTATAATATGCGTATGGGTCAGTGCCCGAAATCCCGTAAAAGTCGAAAAACTGTCTTTCTCAAGGCTACAGGGTTAATGGTGAATACAGTGAGCAGTTTAGGTGTGTCTCCATACTGAAATTAAGGCTTTATTTTAATTCAGTCTGTTGCATCTCTCCACAGATTGTGATTCCTGGTATTGTAGAAATGGACAGGGTGTCAAACCTCACCAAATGGTTGGCTGATAAGGATGATGGAAGAGGCCTGACACAGGATGAATGGATCTCAGTGGAGGAGTTTATACCTGGTGAGCATCACAATCTGTTGTGTTTATTAGGCCTATGCTTGTTAAAATAAATTTCAGCAGCCTGAAACGCTATTCGGTGACTGAATGCGGGGTATCCTTCTTAGTTTCAATTTTTATAAACTCCGGCATAACATTCTGGTTGTTCGTCCACTGATGGTTCGTAGCTGGTGTGATATTTACCATATCATTGCATCACTATGGAGTTTTGTTAGTTAGATAATCGAGATATTATCCTTGGACAAGTCCATAAGCGCTCGGATCCCATCTTCAGCATATCTCTCAGCCTGTGGCGACCGATAACACTCTGGAGTAATATGGAATGAAGGGGCGGATTGGCTTGCTGGCGGGACCACGGTAGGTACAGGAAAAGCAATAGACCTGGCCAACATTCTCAATGCTCTCAAGGAGGTAGGGCTAGAAGCCAATTCAGGAGACGACTTTGAATCGACAACACTCAAAAGACTACAAGAGTTATTTTATCACAGTCGACTTCACTGCACACTGGGCATTCCATGCATGCCCAGTGCTCCGATGCAGCAGTCACTCCAAGATATCTCAGTCGGTTGATTAAAGTGTCTCATTTCTTCGGTCTGGAAGGCGGCATAGACTAATAGCAGTAGTAGATTTTACCCCACTAGGACATCACACAAGCGATAAACACCCGATGACACAAATTGCCACCATGTGAATGAGGATCACCAGTGGAGAGGTCCCGGAAACCACGTTCAGCCATTAGACCATCTTTATGGCCGGGCTATATTGCGGCCCCTGGCAAGAGCCAGGGTGGGGCTTCAAAATAACGAAAAATTGCATCCCACAAGGGGATGACGCGGTTAAGTAATAACCATATAACAAATGTATAACGGCATAGACGTGCTTCGCCATGCTTTAGTTCCGTCATCTTAGAGTCAGAGATTCGTCATTATTTACTAATCTAGTCCGTACAACGTTGATGATATATGCTCTGTCCATGCTTCTTCCAACATGCGTTGGTGCATTGCTTGCCAGTTGGTCCGCTCGCTCGTTACCTATCACGCCGGCATAGCCATGTGTGTAGATCCAGGTGAGAGGGGTTAAGTGCGATATCCGAATGCTTTCTACCAATTCAGAACGATTTTCTGAAGCATGTTTATGGACTCTGATATGACTGATGCGTGCGTGCTGTTTGTTCTGATGCCTATGATAATGCACTGGAAGCAGCGGTTATCTTTGACGTAGTTGTTTGGTAAGCACCTCTATCCTCTTTTATTGTTTTACCCCATTCTTTGTGCTGTGAATGCCCATGCTGACCTTGACGTGCGCTTCACGGACCCATCCTTAGATTATGATGTCCTCTGAGCGTAAATGCTTTTTTTTTTTTTTTAAATCAGCACCATTATCTCGGTGTCTATGGCTGCATGAATCTGAAACTTGCAGTACCGCCCCAATGTGATGACAACCTTAAAAAGGTCATGCTTGTCTACTGGTATATCCGTCCATTCTTTTCCGCGACTTGAGCACGTCTAGGTCGCATACCCTGTGGGTTGAATTTTCAGCATAGCCCATTCATGAGCAACTTCTTTTGAAACTTATATATCCGTCATGTATGTCTTGACCTATGCAACTTTGTGGCTGGTAGCCATTGTTGGTAAGACCAGGACGTAACGCATGACGTGACAGGAGGTATCTTTTGTGCACCCAAGTATGAGTCTCATTTTGTTCCTGATCTAGTGCTGACTAGTTTCTTCTTCGCGTTTACTAGCTTTAAACTCTGGTGGAAAGTCCTAGTTGTTCGTCTACTTATGGACTTTAGCCTAGTTCCAAAACTTGAGTTTTGCGTGCACTTCCGTTTTATATATCTGGCTTATTTTAATGCAGGCTGTTGTTTCCTGTCTCTCAGGCGGATGCATTTTGACCTCAAAGGAAATCCCTAATTAGTTGACTCTTGCGACATGCTTGTTTGGTAGGTAGTGAGTCTATTCTTTCTTCAACCGCCCACCACAGCAGTTTCCTGGAACCCACACGGGCAACTGACTGGTTTAAACATCATGTACCCTATTTACCTCATGGCATGAAATGGGATTTTTACTTTTTTGTATGTTAAATATTTTTTTATTTTTACTTTTTGTTCAAGTTTAAAATACAAAACAGGACAACTGCTAAATAATATTACAATTATTATAATCATTTTTCCTACATTTTTCGACAGGCAAAATGGGCAGATTTTGTCCTTGGTCGACTAAACACACAAAAGACAACGTGGACTCAAAGCACATGCAGGCTTTCTCTCACTTTACCTACAAGTACACTGGAGGTGACATGGTAGCTTGCGACTTTCAGGGTGTGTTCGACCCTGTGAGTTCCCGGTATTCATTCACTGATTCAACTATCCATTCTGCTTATAAACTGTACGGGTTGTTTGACCAGGGAGAACATGGCATTTCTGAATTCTTCAAACTTCACAAATGTAACGAAATTTGCAGCGATTGGCCCAGACCCACACCTCTGACACCGCCTCCATCGTTTGAAGCGGCCTGCTCCCTGCAGAGAAATTTGACTCCGGCTCGTGAGTTTGAAAACATTATCTTTCCTTCCCATGGCAGAGAAACTGTAGAACCCGGTATAACATACAGTAACCAAGAGAATACACGACATAGGATTACTGATGAGCGGAGAAGACATCGAAGTGAGCACCACCAAAGACAGATGCCAACAGGAGCTTCATGGTTTGGAAATAGCGTAGATCTGTACCACTCTGAAAGGCGTTTTAATAGAAACAAGGACCCGGTTTTTGGAAGTAACAGTGCAATAGGTGAAGATGTGCATGAACTGCCTACCTATGAAAATACTGCAGTATTGCGTGGAGTAGCCGGTGAGCCACCGCCATATGAAAGCCTGGTAACTCCAGGAGATAAGAGAAAACAGTTGAAGTCCGGAAGCTTGTCACCATCTGAAGCAGTGAATAGAAGCTTAAACCCAGTAAGCAACTTCAGTGGTGACAGCAGCAGAGAAAATAATTTGTTCAGATTTCGCAAACGATCGGCGACATGCCCTTTGTTGCATGAAGAATGTCATTGCTCTTGTGTTGGTGAAACACCTTGGATTTCGAACACGCAGCTAGCTAGCCAATCATATTTAACACAGAGTGCGGTGCATAACTACGAGGAGGCATCTCCAGTTGTGCCTTCCGCTCCATCTGAAGAAGTGTCACTAATTTTGCCTTCGGCTCCACCTCAAGAATTCAGTGACATCAGATAAACATGAGCAACATTATTCCTTATATTTCTTGATACTGAAAAATTTATGACATTTCTGAAAACTTGAGGACAAAGTGACATCAAAACAAAACAGGAGTGACTGCAATCCAGATGATTTCAGAGGAAAGCCTACATGGAGAGTGCATGGGGTGATTATAAATGGAGGGGACAAGCCTAACATCATCCCTAAGACTGCAGAACTTCTTTATTATGCAAGAGCTCCATCTGGCGAAGAACTTCTGGATATTCAGAGACGACTTGGTAGTTGCTTTTAAGATGCAGCCACAGCCACAGGATACACAGTAACCTATGCATTTAATCCCAAAGATTATATTCCCCAATGAGCAATAATAAGATGGCTGCTATGTATGTGAAAAATGGAGAGTCTCTTGGCATAGTATATGAGCATGATCAGAACAAGCTGTCAAAACTAGGTGGCTCTACCGACATGGGGAATGTTTCCCGTGTCCTGCCAAACATTCATCCAAAGTTTAGCCTTCACACTGAAGTTAGCCAATACACAACTGAATTCAGAGATATTGCTAAAACAGAGTCTGCCCGTGTAACAATACTGCTACATGCTAAAGCTCTGGCAATTGCAGCCATCTCTTGTGTCATCAAAGAGGAGTTTCAGCAACAGCTAACAGCTGAAACCTAGTGATGTTAGCTTTATTACTTTGATGTTGATTAGTTATTTCCGTTTGCAAATATTATTTCCCAATTGATAGCCTTTCTTTTGAATATTTAAATATATACCATTACTATTCAACATGTTGGTGTGACTTTTCTGTTATATTTTTTTTCTGTGTTAGCATTTTATTGTGAGTTAAGTGATAGATTTTATCCTATGCATAAAATATTTAGGCAGTTGTTTTTTTCACCAGGTATGTTGATGTTACAACATTACGAAGTGAAGAATTAGGGGTTGGGCAGATATAAATCCTACTCGTCTTACTCCATGCTCATGTGTTTCTCTTACACTAAATTTCCCAGCTGTATAAGTTCATTCGGCTATCCTCCGACTAACGGTCGGTAAAGATGGCAGCCACAAAATATCCTTTCGAGCCGGTTTTCAGATGAGTACTGCCACGTGTCCCCCACGCCGCGTGGAATGGGGCTAAACTAGATGGCTAGGACCCACGAGCAGCAGCCGTGGTGTGCTAGTGACCGCTAGTGCATAATTGACACGTGACTGTGGCTCGAAAGGATATTTTGCGGCCGCCATCTTACCGACCGTTAGTCGGAGGATAGCTGTTCATTCTTCTTCTTCAGCTTTCCGAGCCCTTGAAGTTTGTTGCTGCAGATATCACCCGCCTCCATTCATCTCTCTGGTTGGCCTTCTCTTTCCAGCTGGTGAAACCAAGTGTTTGCAGGTCTGTCCAGGTATTATCTCTCCATCGTCTTCTTGGTCTGCAAACCATTCATCTCCGTTGTGTCAAGTTTTCACTTCTCTGTTATCTGACATTCTCTTGATTTGATTCAAGAACTGACATTACAGCACTCGCGGCATTCCCATAAGTGCTCAGTCCCCATCTTCAGCAGCCAGCGAAGAGTTCCGATACTAATGGTGCCAATAGAATTGTGATTAAACGTCCGTCTTGCCTTTCCTCTGAGCCTGGAGCATCCGCCAGAACCTCTCGTCACTCCCCGCTACATCAATCTCACCAGACTGTGGTGATCTATCTGCTCCTCCGAACTGTATGATTTCCCACATTCTCTTAATATGCCCCAACCTTTTCAGTCTATTAGCTCATTGGGAGAAAATTCAGACGGTGTTTTCAGCTCATTCATTAATTTAACATTCTCAGAAAATCTGACAGCAGTCAATAGTTATCTAGCATTCGACTGAAGCAAACATACATAACTGAACTGTATTACTGGTATAATTTTTAAATAGCCTGTGATTAAAAAAAAATGTTGGACTGATAGAAAGATTATGTTCTAGTTTTTTTTTTGTATGAATGTCCTCCACTGGCGATGAACAAATTTAAGATCAGCCGGAGTTCTGCTTGTACATCTTAGCAGTTTCTTAGCTTAAAATAACAAATTTTTAAAATTAAAAATTGTTTCTTTAGTTTTCCCGTTTCCATTGTAACTTTTTCGTTTGTTGTGGTTTTTCTTGCTGTTGTATTTACTTGTTGATAAAGCTTTTATTCGAAGTGTTCAACTGTTCCCTCCCCCTGGCCCCCTTCTGATGTTTCTAGTCATGGTTTGTCTTGTGTTTATTTACTCTTTTGAAGAAAATCAGAATATTATTCTATCCAGATTGATGCAATTTGTAAGCATAACATTTTATTGCTCCAAGTAGCTGACTATTATTTCATTTGTTTACATCCACTCTCTAGCTCCCTTTTCCTTTGGTTTTTTCCCCCTTCCTTTATTCTTGTGCCCCTGTGGGTTCCAGTGCAAAGATATTCTAGTTATATTGTTCGGGATTGGGGGTGAGGAGTTTCTATGTGGCACGTGGTCAAGCGGTTTGCCTCGTGCTCTGAAGGTTATGGGTTCATTCCACGACTGCGCCTTTCAGTTCACGAGTGCAATTTTCAAGGCGATCCCTTACAAATTGGTTGTGCTTTACATTAGTTTCTGGTTTCTCCACAAAATATTTCTGGTTAATATTTAAAACTGTTTCAGTACATCAAGAAAGCATACTTAGATGAGTAGCACACAATATTTCTGGTTAATATTTTAAACTGTTTCAGTACACCAAGAAAGAATACTTACACGAGTAGCACATCATACATCTCCCCCCCCCCCCCCCCCCCAGGATATTCGGGTAATGAGGAAGCTGATAGTGCCCCTTTGAGCTATTTAACACCAAAAAAAAAGATATGGCAAAGGTTCTCCCAGATAAGTGAACAAACAGAACAGACAGGGCATCCATCTCTAGAGAGAATAATTCAGCTGGGAATAAGCAGTCTGGATGACTTTCTACCTGCAGATGTATACTGTAACTAGAGTTAGGAAATCCCCATTTTACGGGTGTTGAATCTCCATTGGCTGGACCAGGAAACTCCAAGATAAAAATATGACAACATGGATGAAAGCGACCATACAGAATAGGTAAGAATCCCTGGAAATACTTAGGTTTGTTTGAACAACAAATCAACATCATGGCACATGGTTAGTAACCCATAAGTGCTCTGTTCTTCTAAGTCAAGTCTGAGTCTGAAGAAGCTCAGCACAGTGCACAGGCTCTGTAGCACCGGTGAGGATCCTGAAAGATTTTGGGTAGATTTTAAACTCAAAATTTTGCCTGGGCAGCGCCGTTAGGCTATTCTTTTTCAACTGCCAAGGGAATTTTTACGTGGACAACAATGCACACGGGCGTCCGATCTCACTACCCAGAGACCAGGGGTCTGAAAAAATCCCAGTCCTTCCCGGGGATTGAACCCTGAACCTCTAGCACTTGAGGCGGACACCATGCATTGAGACTACGTAGCCCCCTGGAAACACCTTAAAGAGTGATCAGTTATACAAAACTCTCTGTGGAAATATGTCAGCTATAAAAGGTTGAAACAAAATACTAACAAGGCCGTTTTTTGTGAAGTAGACCCCAGGTGTGCATGTAAAAAAAAAGTACAAGTATTTGAGTGCAGCAAGTATTCCAGTATCTGAGTGTGTCAAGAGATCCTGTCCAATTGCGGTCTGCTGGGAAATCGGTGTGCAAGTGTGTATAACTAGGAAAGAATTCAGCTCTGAAAACAGTATAGCTAAGTCTGCCAAGGTGTGAGATCGCCAGACAAATCAGGAATGTGGACCGTTTAGAACACTGGTGACGTACATTGAATAAATTTGTGAATGTTTCTTGTTCCGAAGACTGCGAGCTGTTAAGTCAGTTGTCTGTGACATCTGATATGTGCAGAGTATCACTCAGACACTGAGCCAACACAAACAAACATAAAGTGACTCTACTCTGTACAGGGATCGAACGTAGTGGGTATGGTGATGTCAATTCTTGATTCATTCACTCACTCAAGAAATTATTTCACTGGAAACAAGGAGTTTTATTTGTAATCAAAAATATTTACAATATAGTATATCAATGTAATAAACATGAATGTCACAATAAGAGTTTTTTGTCTAGCACAGCAAAATGAAATACAATAAACCTTAACTAATACACCCTCAAAGCTCGATAAAAAGAGTGAGTTTACTGTAATTCATGCTATTCGGAGTTCAGCAATGCAACCGACAAACAAATTATTTGCCGTCTTCGTGCTCTTTCTGAATATTAAGTGAGAAGGCCTCTCCTCTTCGATTCATTTCTTGTATGAAAAACCAGTTCATATACAAATTACACAAGGTATGCAATCAAATTCATGCAACCAGTTGTTTGCTCTTGCGTATAAACTTTTTATGCTTCACCACAAATAACTAATGATAAAACTGAGCGTCTCTTTTGGAATCTGAACAGCCAATCATTGAATGTATTTTGGGCAATATCATTTGCTTTTGACTGAATACAGGCCAACAAAAAAGTAACTAATTATTCTAGAACCACTGTTTCAAAATCTTCGTACTTAGCCCACTTGGTTTGCTCCTACTGGCTCTGTTTTAAATAATAGAAAAAGAAATGATGTCAGTGTTAAGCAAACGACCTCACAGTGACATCATAATTATAGTTGATGCCCCATCCACTTCACCACTTTTGACATGCACTACTTCAAAACGGTGTGACTTCTGTGCCTGAGCTGGTCATGAGCAGTTTGTCACAGACTTAACGCAATTTTGAAACTTCCTGCTCTACTCATACACTCGCTGTGGTATGCACCACTCTATTGAATATTCGCCACTGAATTTCTTTAGGTTTCACTAATGGAAACAAATGGATAACAGAAAGCTGCTCCTCTTTGGTGCAAATTAAAAAGTGAGGTGGCCATCTTTACACTGCCATCATGATGCCAGTGTTCTTTTCATCGTGATGTCCCATGCTTAACACTCCTGACATCCTTACGAACTATAGGGACAGGTTACAATAGTTATTGTAATTTTTATCCCACTTTAAACATTTTTATTTGATGCCTCCTCATAGATATTCATAAGGTGCCGGGATCAAAATATTTCGTGTTAACTTAAGGTCTTCTTAAGGATGTTTGTGTTAACGATGGTTTAGTGCAATACAAAATTAATCAACCTGAACACAAACAAACCTTTTTCATCATAGCGATGAAGTACATTGGATATATGGTGCCAACCCTATATTTAATGGATCAAATTAGAGTGGGTATCAATGCTGTTGATAATTTTTACCTTCCTAACATTTATTTTGTAGTATCTATTTTATGCTGGGTTAACTTGGGAGTTTGATAATTTGTTACCTGTGCGCGCTCCCTCTTTGTCCTTAAGAGAGAGGGAAGGGCTGCCTCACGAATACCAGACTGACAGGCAGATGTGGTAACAACTGCACTAGCTTGACTCCCTCAATAAAGGAAAACCAAACAAGCAACTAAATGCAGTTAGATCATTCCAGCTACATATTTTGCTTATAGGTAGGTATTATACAATACATAATTTTGCAGTATATATCAGAACTGTGAGCAGATAAGGATCACATGTAAGAAGCATAAAGCTAGACAAAGACTAGTTTAATCATTCAGGTACATTATACTCAAAAGTCCACTATTATAATGAGAGTACCTGTTTGTGCTGTACCGCATGTATTGTGTGCACTGAACATATCCTGATCATTTGATAAGTACTGATCAAAGAATAAACAAAAATGTTGTTATCGCCCCACAATGCATATATTCTGTTTTTGACTGTCTCTTTTTACAGCTTCATTCTTACCAGTTCTAAACAGCAGGGTAATATCTAAAGTGTCTATTATGGGTGCTCTAATTATATTTTTGAATTAGAAGGCTTAACAGGGTATCTAGATTTGTCCAGATGGATTTTCTTCCAGGATGTGACTCTTTGGACTGTTGGGGTGGTAGCCCCCAGATAGGGGGAAAGGTATCAAGATAATATTGTTTAACATCATTCATTGTTTATTCTGAAGAATTCTACAGACCAAGAATTACACACAGGGCTGTATTTAGGATGTGTGGTGCCCCTTTGTAGCAGCACTGGTCGACATAATGTAACTAGTAGCTGAAAAAACGTTTTTTTTTTTAAAATGATATAATTTTGTTTAATATCAGTCGTTAAACTGTATTGATTATTATCTGTATTTACCATGTATTTTTGTAAAACACAATCATTTATAAATGTTTAGCTTGCACATTTGTGTACTGATTCGGTTGTTTCAATACTACAATGCAGTTTTCAATTTTAGTAAAAATTTCCACTCATTTTCATTTGTTACTTGCAGTTTGTAAACGAATACTGATGCTAAAGTTTCGCTTTGGAAGAGGGTGGTAAAATCAATGAATGCACATGATCACCATACATCCTAAACACGGGCCTGATTACATTATAGCATGTGAATTAATGTACTGTATGTTACCAGACTAAGGCATGCACAAACTTGATGAATCTTCAGAGTTGTAATATCTCCGTTCACCCTGAGGGAATATGTTGCCCGGATCAGAGAGTGGTGTTTTCCCTGTCATACAGTCTCGTTCTGCTCGTTCATAAGCCAAGTCCTGGGCTATTCGCGCTTCAAACTCGTCAGAAATTTTGGGTGCTGGCATTTCAGGTTTGGAAGGTGCATCTGTGTCGTCCATCTTTTCTTCGCCGTCTTCTCCTTCTCCCTCTTTTACATCATGCCAAGGGATTGTGAACCGGGTGACTCTCACTTCGGATGACAGGATATTTCTGATGAGCTGGTATAAAAGATAAGGGAGAAAATTCCATGACAAAACTTTCTATTTTTAGTAAAACGGTTAAAACAACAGTCAAATATAAAATTCCCTTGTGTGGGTTTCAACACCCTTATCATGGAGGAAAACAAAAGAGACCCATTATCCATTAATAAGCATGTCATAAAAAAGCAACTAAGTAGGGTTTACACAATCCAATGTCTTGGACTGAAAGATATTGCAGCACAGCTGTAAACCACAACTTGCCAAATGTTCTTTGACAGGCAGATGCAGATGAAGAAATGTAATAAGACAGTTTTCCTGCTACATCTTCTTTATTTCTCTTTCAGCTTGAGTGCATTACTTTTGGTTATGAGACTAGGTCAGAGGTCACGTAAATAGGAGGTGACTGCAGTGACAGCTCAATTTAATTTATTTACTTGTTTGTTTATTTAACTCATTCATATTTCTCCCCTGTTTTTAAATACGCCTTCTTACTTATTTCATTTTGTAGTATAGCCCTTTATATTAATTCATTAGCCCTGAATACTAATGAAAGAACAATAAACAATCAGAGACGCGGATGAAACACTATTACTAGCAGAAAGCGAGCAGAAGTTAAAAGAACAAGCTGATCAATTCAACAGGTGGAGTGCAGAGTATGGTTTAGACATTAACATTAAAAGAAAAGAAAAAAAAAACTATGGTAATCAACAAAGGGAAAGAGCGACCAATAGAGAACATCACAGTAAACAGAGAGCTATTAGAACAAGTAACAAGTTTTTCCTATCTAGGACAGGTAGTAACAGATGATGGAAGAAGCGAAAAAGAAATGAAGAGAATAGGAATGGCTAAAACTGTCTTCAATAAGATGCACAAGTTACTGACAGCTAGAGAGATAAACACAACACACTAAAACTAAGAATCATCACATGTTATGTATACCCACTCCTGCTATATGGTGCAGAAACTTGGACAATGAACAAGCAACTAGAAAATCTTATTGTCTCTGGAAATGTTGGTATACAGAAAAACAGGTCATATTTCATACAAACAAAAAACAGTCCGGTACAAAGGTTCTGGAAAAGCTACAAATGAATAGAGAATTACTGAAAGAAATAAAAAAGAGACAACTGAAATTCTCTGGCCACATTAAAAGACATAACACACTTTTAAAACCCATACTGGAGGGGAAGGTCGAAAGCAAGACAGCAAGAGGTGTGTAACGATACAAGTGGAAGGACAACATTAAGAGATGGACAGGCAGCCGTCTGAGAGGGTACAACCAGGACAAGGGACAGAACGTGCTGGAGATCTATTGCAGCCAACCTTAACTGCGGAGTCTGCATCTGATTGATAGCCCTTCACACTCCCCCCCCCCCCCCCCCCCCCCCCCCATTACGTACTTCTTGGCTGACCCTCATGTTTTTTATATAGCTCCTTTGTCTTCTCCATTGAGTTTTCCCATTCTGTTTATGCTATATTTAGTTATCCGCCGATAAAGACTTAAGTCAAAACGTTCAGATGTGTTTGCGTGCATCTTTTCAATTCCATCCACTGAGCTTTCTAGTCCAGTTTTGTGTTATATTTAGCATAGATCAGGTCAGTATGTTTTACTCTGACCTGCAGGAGGCTTACATCTCAAGATCAGTCATTAGAGGTAATAGCTCACTCTGTCCTAGGGGAGGTTTTCTTGCCTAACAATTTTGCCTTTTGTTAACAGACTCACCATCACAATAACAAGCATGTTGTAAAAGGTGACTAATTAGGAGACTGCTGAAACTGGATGTGCTGGGCCAAAAACCACACATACCATAGCCTAGCTGTAAACCACAAAACAATGTACCAACCAACCTTTCTTAAAAGAGAAAATCTGAAGAAAAAAATCAGTCTTTTCTTCTGATGCTTTAGCCATAAAAGCCCTCACCTAACATTTAGTCCTATTTTTGCCCTTGTCCTCACATTCTTTCTCCCTACCATTGTCAAAATCAATGTAAACTGGTCTGCTGCCAAACTGCATGTTGCCGGGATTGAACCAGGTATTTTGGAATTACAAAGCGCATTCATAATGGGGGATTTTTAAAACACACAATTTCTTCTTCTTGTTCATTGGCTGTAAACTACAGCGGAAAGTTACGGTTGTTCGTCCACTTCTGGCCTCTAGTCTGGGCTCAGAACCTGAGTGTTATATGCACCTCCGTTTTACAGTTGACTCATTTGCATGCAGACTGTTGGTTTCTTGCCTCTCAGGCAGATGAACTCCGGCTTTAAAGGAAGCTCCCAATTAGCTGACCCATACAACATGCTTGTTAGTGAGGCGGTGGATCTATTCTTGCCTTCGCCCACAATAGGGCCCCAAAACCCACACAAAACAGCCACATGTGACCTGGATGAAGGTGTCGTCCGAAGTCAAAGTGTATCAAATGAGAGGCAAGGAACCGACAGTTTGCATACAAATAAGCCAGACCTATAAATCAATATGCATGCAAAACTCATGCAAGATCAAAGTCCAGAACTGGGCGAACAGCCAGAAATTTCTGCTTGAGTTTGCAGCCAGTGAATACAAAGAAGAAGACAGGGAAATGTAAATCTTGAAGAAAACGTAGCAGAGATTCAAGTTAATTAATTACCTTATGGTACTGAACTTCTGCTGGTGGGTTTTCTTTCAGCTCTGGGTCATCATATTCATTGTTGACGTAATAGCCTACCCTGATAAACTCCTTCCCTCTGTACGAACAAGTGAGCAGCACCACTGTGACCCCCATAACATCATCAACAGGGATCTTCTTGACATCAGGTGGGTCAGCCTACAGGAAATATACACAAACCCGTTTGAAAAATCTTCACTTTAATAATTTAGTTAAAGATTGGTGTAGTCATACATCTTTTAGGCAAAATAGTAGACACAGACTGGAGGAGGAAAGGGGTGGGGTCGAAGAGAGGTGAAAAGAAACCGTGAGAGAAAGAAAGACAGTTAAACAGAGAGAGAGAGAGAGAGAGAGATGACAAAGACAGGAGTAAATAAACAACAGTAAACCCCCGTGTGGGTTCCGGGGCCCTACTATGGGAAAAACAAGAATAGACCCACTGCCTACCCAAAAGCATGTCGTAAGAGTCGACTAATTGGGAGCTTCCTTTGAAGTCGAAGTGCATCTGTCTGAGAGGCAAGGAACCAACAGTCTGCATACAGATCTGTCAAATGGATGCACATGCAACACTCAGGTTCTGGAACAGAACTGCAGTCCAGAAGTAGACGAACAACCAGAACTTTCCACCGGAGTTTACAACCAGTGAACAAGAAGTAAAAAATACCCCAGAAAAATAATGAAATACTGGTCCACCAGTTTTACAGGCCAACTGACACTCAACTGATGATGCGGTCAATCTCAGTCTAGCTACCTTTACCTCTTGGCAGCTGTGGTAGCATAGTGGCTCAGCTGCCAGCTCAAAAGTCTAGGGTTCTAATCAATATCTAGTCTAATTTAAATATACTTGCACATAGGCAGGGGGAAGAGAGGGAACAAACAAGCTACAAGCGACAGTAGACAAAGTGACTGAGTGGTGTACAGCAATGAGGGCTGTTGTCCACCTAGAAAAGGTGTCTGTTTTGTGGTGTTCTCTAGACAACAGAATCGTTAAAGCTAATACCCCAAGTCTCATGATAGATGGTAGAAACATCAACAGAGAGAGCAAACAAGTATCTGGGAATTACATTTGACAGGAGTCTGTCCGTTAAGGATCATGTGGAGAGTGTTGTGATGAGATGCCAAAAAGGACTTAGTGCACTTAAGACTATGGCTGCAACTGACATAGAGCAGAGCATTTTTTTCACACTATATCAGCACCTGATCCTGTCACTGGTTGATTATGGCTGGGACTGCTTACCGTCTCAAAAGTCAGATGGACAAACTAGAGCGCATTCAGAACGCAGCTATGCGGGTCATTCTGGGCTGCACCAGAGACACCCCACTGGCGTGTATGCGATACATCCTTGGTTTGCCGACTGTTGCAGGTAGGCACAAGGCGCTGCAGGTGAAGTCATATCTCAAGGCAGCTGCAGACACAGATCACCCTTTGCGCGAAGCACTGGGTGCAGTTAAGGGTCAGAGGCTGATAAGAGGTAAGTCATGGATGGCTCAGGCAGAAGACACAATCAGACTGGTTTGCATTCCTGAGAACATTAGGCGAGGAGAGGAGTGGGTCAAAGTGCCACCTGAACAGTCAGACTTGTGTAGGGTCATAATGCAGAGACTGGCCAGCAAGTGCTACGGAGGTGGAAATTCAGCAATTAATTCAAGATAATGCTCGCTTAGAGAATTTGATTATTTACACAGGCGGTTCATTATCAAGAGGCAAAAGAAGTGCTTAGGGTTTCTTAGCTAAAGTTAATGGTCCACATTTTGTGCAGGAGAGCCTAGCGTATGATACGACAACATACAGCTTAAGAATGGATATGGTCACTGCAGCTTTCTTCTGGTTAGAGAACACGACACACACATATCGTGATTGTAACAGACATACTGAGGAAGGTCAGGACACTGCGGAGGACTTGGGTGAGAAGTATTGTCTGGATTTTTTCACCGGGATAAGCAAGTGTGTTGGGAAATGAACAGAAGGACAGACTGGCTGGCTCTGCACAACTAGGTGGAATACTGATGCATGATGAGTAGACGTGGTTAGTGCCTTGTGGGAGAAGGTGTACAGTTCGGAGGAGAAGATGGATCACTACAGTCTGGTGAGACTGATGCAGCGGGAAGTGATAAGAGATTCGGCAAATGTTCGAGGCTCAGAAAAAGGCAAGACGGACGTTTAATCAGAATGCTACTGACACCATTAGTATCAGAACTCTCCACTGGCTGCTGTGGATGGGGACGGAGCGTTTGTGGGAATGCCCAGAGTGCTGTGATGTCGGTTCTTGAATCAACTCTGAAATAATTTCAAAATTTGCCTTGGCTTCCAGGTTAACCAAGCCTAAAATGTGTACCAGGTAATGTCGTGGGAAGTAAAGGCGGCCAAAATGACACTGACCACAACATTTACTTCTTCTTCTTGTGTTCGCTTTCTGATTTACACCGACAGACAGGTTCTTGTGATAAACTTGACTGTTTTTATGAGTTCCTTTTTAGTCCTATGCAACTTTGTGTGCAGTGGTGAGTCACTGGGCCAGTATTCTCTTCTTAATGGGATTAACAAGGGAGAGTCTTGCAGGACATGTTCTGTAGTCTGCACACACAGCCCACAAGGGCACAAAGGTGAACTACTTAGACAAAGCCTGTGCATATGCTGGTTAAGTTTGTTATGTCCTGCCCTGAGACGTAGGACAATGACCTGCCCATGCCGGCCAAGTAAGCGGTAGTCATCTCTGGCCAGACTCTGTTCACTTCTAATAGCCTGGATGGCCCTTTTCTTCTCATAGTATGTTACTGCATTCTCTTCCTGGTCACATTCTGCCCCTTTCTTAGCAAGTTTATCTGCGGTTTCGTTTCCTGGTATACCACAGTGGGATGGCACCCACTGGAGTACAGTACACTTTTGGGCAGCCACCTTGCCAAGTTCAGATCTCAAGTGAGGGAGTTTGGCACTCTTGAGGGCTTGAAGCACTGATAGCGCATCTGTGAATATGACCACTTGGTGGCAGTCAGAACTGGTGTTGTGTAACATTTCGGCAGCCTGCTCTAGTGCTACGATCTCAGCTGTGTAGTTGGAACAGAATTTACCAGTGGGTATACACTTGGTGTGGCGGTGGTTGCCTGGGTATGTAATAAATACTCCAGCACCCCCATTTTTAACCGCACTGGTTGCTGATCCATCTGTGTAAACATGTATCCATGACTGTTCGGGATAGTTTTCATGAATCATGCTAAGAGCAGCTGTTCTTTTTTGAAGATCATTGGACTCATCTCCAGCTGTGAATCCACTGACTGAAGTCATTATCTGTATTGTATCACTGACTTGCTCCCAAGGTACAGGGTATGGGGTAGGTTTCAGCGTTGTTGTTCTAATAGGTAGATCAGCTTGATACTGTCTTCTAAGTCTGTTTCCCAGATGGACAAAGCTGCTACGTTTGAGACGCCCCAATGTCAGATCATCTACCCTTCCATTCATTGGGTGTGACTGCATACTATTAAAATTCTCCATCTGGATCATAGTTTTAGTGTCTCTTCTATAGGACAATGTCTGCATTGCAGTTATTTTCTGCATCTCCAGGATTGGTGCAGTTTTCATGGATCCTGTGATGAGTCTAAGAGCTTGATTTTGCACTCTAATGATTGTAGATGGGAATTAGCAGCTGTTGACCATGCTGATGCATCAAACTCCAAGTGGGGTCTTATCGCTCCATTATAAACTTTCTTTAGGGGTTTTCCATTCGCTCCCCATCCTGTACCTGCCAGTTTTCTAAGTAGGCCTAGTCGTCTCCTGGCCTTCCCTTCTACATTTTCTATATGTTTGCTCTATGTGAGCCTTTTATCAAATGTTACTCCAAGATAAGTGGGGAAGCTTTCTTCCTTTAGCAATGATGTTCCTAGATGAATACTAGCAGCTTTGTTCCTGGGGGAAAGAGAAAAGCGTTGTGGATGTTTTGTCTGTGTTGATGTGATGACAACATGCCACTTTTCTGCCCATGTCATCAAGAGATCTGCTGCTCGCTGCATTCTTATATTTGCCACTGTGGTGTGTTCATCAGTACACCAGAGTGCCAGATCATCTGCATACAGGGCAGCTTTTACTCCTGTAGGGAGGTCTTTCACCAGATCATTTATATAAACAAGAAAGAGAGTTGGAGAGACAACTCCTGCCTGTGGTACTCCTTGCCGAAGTAACACTTTTCTGCTCTGCTGGCCATCAAGACTGACTCTAGTTCTTCTGCTATGTAAGAGGGATTGGATCCATTTTAGCATGTTTCCTTGGATTCAATTTCTCTTCAGTTTTGCAATGAGACCATCTTTCCAGACTTTGTCAAAAGCTTGTTTGAAGTCAAGCCATACCGCCAGGACCTTTTTCTTCTCTTGGAAGGCATCCTCCACAGCTTGTGGCAGGTAGGTGACTTGGTCTTCTATGCTGTGACATTCCCTAAATCCAGCCTGCTCTGGCACCAAGATCTGCTCAGATTCTAAGTGCCATTTCAGTCTTGAATTTACAATTCTTTCCGATGTCTTTCCTACACAGCATGTGAGACTAATTGGGCGATAGCTGGAAGCCTGGGTCTTAATTTTTCCTTTTTTTAAAATGGGTATTGTGATGGCTTCTCTCCATATTTGAGGCACCAAACCTTTCTCCCAGCTGATGTTGAAAATTTCCAGCAGCTTTACTTTAGCAGATGAGCTCAGGTTGATCAGCATTTCGTTGCTGATTTCATCTGGACCTGCAGACTTTTTTAACTTAAGCCTGGAGATGGCATTTTGTAGTTCACCCATGGTAAATGGCTCCCTCATAGAGGCAGGAGTATCTGTCTGTATCTTATTTGTTTGAATTTCTTTCCCTATTTCTCTCTGATGGTCCTCATCAAGGGTCAGGTTTTCAACACTGTATTTCTGGCAAACAAATCTGCAGCTTGTTTTCCTCTGAAGATTTGGTCACCATCAATTAGTGTGATTGTTTGTCTAGGAGAGAAACTCTCTCCATTGAGTGATTTGGCTAATCTCCAGAGTTTCTTGCCATCTTTATCAAGGTTTAGAGCTGCTGTTTTATTTCTCCAGCTTTTCCATTTTTCCTCAAGTTTAGTTCTCTGGAACACTGCTAGTCTTTTTCCATTTGGTGTGGTTGTCAGGTAAAGGTTGAGATTCTGCATCCTTTCTAGCCTGATTGATTGTTTCCTGACATTCCTGGAGTGTGCTGGACCAGTACAGTCTGTAGTTGTGTCGACAACCTCTGGGGATTGCTTCTTTTGCAGCTTGAAGAATACTTCTATTGGAATCGTACACTGTAGCATTGATATCCCTATTTTGAAGTCTCCAACTGCAATAAAGTTGGTATCTGGTACCAGCACAGAGCTGAGGCTTAATGATTTGTCATTGGGACAGTAGTAGTTGAGGTCTAATTCCACTTTGTCTTAAGCTCCAAGAGTTGGTACTCAGCTTCATCCATATAAGACATTTTCTCACATGGATTGATACTATTTTTTACAAGGGTAAGTACTCCTCCTTTCTGCCTGCCTTGTCTATCAGATCTGAAGCACTGGTAGCCTCCCACTTTAAATATCTGATCTGCTTGCAAATGGGTCTCTTGGATGCAGCATACATTGATATGCTTTTCATAGAGGATGTTTTCCAGCTCCATCTTTTTGTTGTAGCCAGCCTGCTGACCTCCTGTGCATTCCAGTGCATTATGACAAAAGGCAATTTGGGATCTTTTCTATCTAACTGGTTTTGGTCAGTAGCTACCCTCCGCCATCTCCTGACTCCACAAGACGGTCTAGGAGGTCCTCCAGTAGCTGGGGCCGGATTGTGTCGAGGCTCAGAACCCGGCACAGCACCTGCCTGGTAGAGCTCCACAGGGCGAGCACCAACATTAAATTTGTCATCATATATATAGCGTGGGGTTGCATAGTACTGTGGTTTTTGATCCGCCTTCTGGCCCAGTATTTCTGACTTCAGGATCTCTCGAGAGGGAGAGTAGCTCATCCCTTCGCCTTTACCTCGTTTGTTGTCCCATCCAGTTTCCTGCTGGGAGTTGAAACCCCAACCTTCAGCTGGATTGCTAGGAAGAACAGGGTCCACCACGTGAAAGTGAGGTAGGCTTAAGCAAGAGAGGCTAATAGACATTAAGAGTCTTGTATTGCGCATCATTGTTTCATTAGGACCCCATTTGCTATTATAGTAGTAGTCACGAAACAAATTTAGATATGAAGGTCTCTGGTTCAAATCCGAACAAGGCATACTGGAACAGAGGAAAGGGCGCGGGGGGGGGGGGGGGACAGCTCAGCTCTCACCCTAAAATAGGTACCAGGCAATGTTATGGAAAGTAAGGGTGGGTGGTGTGATGTTGAAAACAATATGACCTATTAGCCTTATCAAATTTTGAAATTAGCGACACTGCCACTTTAAAAAAAAAAAAGTCGTTCACTGACTACATGAATGAGTCCTAATGAATTAAGTGATTACCTCAAATACAAACATATGCTTTCCTCCTGGGACAGGGCCCACCAATATTGTGTCCAAGACCTGGTCATGCTCCATACTTTCTGCGGAACCCACATAGATTATTCTCCATTCCAGATCTGAAATTATTTCACAACTGAGATGTAATCATGCTCAAACATGTATGTGTAAATAATCGCTTACATAATTAATGCTTCAACATGTACGTGTGAATAAATAACTGCTTACACAATTCTGTGTTACTTGATTAATGTAAATCCCAGGAGCTGTCCTTTAAATAATGCATACACACACATTACATTAGGGAGTCGCCGTAGCATTGGCGGCTAGATGCCCGCCTGTGGATCAGAAGGTCTCGGATTTGGGTCCTGGTGGAGCTGGACTCCCCCTCCCCTCCCCCCCCAAATGACAGAGTCCCAGGTCGACCTAGCTTTGAGTGGGTACCAGGTGCCGTCCTGGAAAGTGGTGATTGGTCTATAAAAATATAGGTCTAGCCCTATATTCCCAATATGCCTAAAGGTGTGGAAAAGGGACCTTTTGCACACTACACTGCACAATTTATTGCCTGATCATCATCTTCACATTCACTAGCAGTAAACTGACTGATAGTTCTGGCTATTCATCCAGCCCCGGACTTTGGCCATGTACCAGCCAGAACCTGAGTGTTGCGTGCACCTCCGTTTCACACATCTGGCTTATTTGTATGCAGACCGTTGGTTCCCATCTAGTGCATCACTACAGAGTTTATATTATAAGATAATGCAATAGATCATACTAGTCTTCAGGTCCTTGACAAAATGTTGCTCTTGTCACTGAACATTTGGAAGTCTCTCTCTCGCCACTTCTTCAGCCCTATGTGCTTTAAGAGCCAATACATCTTCAATGTCTTGTATCCATCTTTGCGGAGGTCTGCTTCGTTTTCTGTCAACTGTAACCCCCATTATCGTTTCTAGGCCACTAGGACATTTGATAAGGCCAAAATATCTAAACTTTTCAGACAGGATGCTGTTTATGAGCCAATTCTACTCGATGTTTAGATCATGTAAGATGTCTGTGCTTTTCTTCTTTTTGGTTCATGGCATTCGAAGAATTTTTCTGCAGCACTTTAGTTCAAAAGCTCTGATTTTGTCTTCAATAACTAAGTAAGTCCATGACTGACTTCCATTAGCTGCCACAAATAAGATGCATGATCTCAATATTTGTCCTTTTAACTTGCTTGTAGGTGCTGTGCCATAGGGAGACTTTTTCTGACTTCTTTTGGATGCAACATATAATGAAGCACAAACACAAATTACACTGTCCCTTGTTTCGCTGTACAGCCTACCAGTGGAAGTTCAAGATTAACCAATTGTTACTAATGGGAAATCATGGCATATTTTTTATTTTTAAAAAATGTGTATCATAAGAAAACAGCCATAAAACACAGATACTATTTATAGTTACTATAGTCATTGGCGGACCTATTCAACATTTGCGCACAAGCAAATCAGATCAAAATTCTTAGCGAGAAGTCTCATAAACAACAAACATTGTGATTGTCCCCATAATGCCATTTTTGGTGATTCTCATGTTTCTGAAAGGGTTCATCTAAACTATGTTGAACAGGTCTTGTGGTCTGCATGTCAGATTAATGACTGACTACAAGAATCAAGTTAGTGTTAGGTTTTCTGGTTAAGCCTCGGTTACGTTACCGGAAATCACAGTCACTAGTCACACCATGTGTTACCTGACAAGTTTTTTTTAGGCCATGGGGGAGGGGTGTATTCCATTAAATTCTTCACCATCTTTGTTTCGTTAAATCATTTTGAATTAATAAAGATTAAAATCAATAAATTTTAAACTAAATTTTCTACTGACCCTAAAAAAAAAATTTTTGGATTTTTTTTTGGGGGGGGGGGGGGGGGGGGGGGGGGTGGTGGTAGGAATTATTTATTTTTTTTTGCCGGGGTGAAAGAGTTAAAGTAAGGAAGGAATTCTGAAAAAGGTACACACATAAATCATAAATAAATAAATATAACATACTATGACTGATTAAACAAAAATATTGATATCACAAAATAAAATGTTAATATTAATAATTTATTAAAGTATTCAGTCAGCATTTTGCCTATTTATTACTATTATTTATATTTTAAACATAAACTTAAGTGACAAAAGGTATTCAACTGTATGTATACTTCAACTATCCTCTACATTTTATGATTTTACTCTTTATTTTCAAACAGAGTGACTTATGTTAGTTTTACTACATTTTTCTTGATATGCAAAAGTGAAATTTTTTGGCTCTCCTCCGAACTTCAACCCCATATTATGGCGGTCATAAAATATCCTTACGGAGCTCAGGCATATGTAAAATGTGGACTTTCTGCCAAGGAACAAATCGCGGCAAAACTAGGATTACTTGACAATTTCAAGAGACGCAACATTGCAGTCGATAGTCGCAGACGATAATAGCGACCGTTGACAATATCGACCCCCCGACACTTTGATGAGGTACAAGGTGGAAGAGAAGAAGAAAGAAGACAATTTCGAGCGTTTCCGCAGACGATAATATAATAGCATGCACAAAACGCGATTAAACTCACCGCCGAGCGTAAACCCGCGCAGCGCGGATGGGAGGCTAAACTAGGTGCCTGGGATTCATGAGCAAATTAATTGGAGGAAGTTGCAGGAGATGCGGGAGCTGCTGCTCGTGAGTCCCAGTCATCTAATTTATCCCCCATCGCGATGCGGGGGATACGGTCGGCGGTGAGGCATTCATTAGTCACAGAAACAGGTCCGCAAATAACATATCGCTGAGACCCTGTTAGAGCATTTGTTTCGTTATACGGAGCCGGCACAGTTTTAACAGAACTGAGCCCCGTAAGGTTATTTTTTATGGCCACCATAATATCGGGTTGAAGTTCGGAGAGCCAATTTTTTTTTTAACTTGCCACTTACCGATTATACTTACGTTATTATTATTATTATTGTGTCATAATTAATAATATTAATTAATTATTTGAGAAAATATTTATTTACATATTCTAAAAATAAAAATATAGTTTACTACTAAATTAACTACTACTATTACTACTAATATTAATAATTTTCCAAAGCAAAAATAACCCAGTCAACAATCTGCTACAAACGGAATTCGTCGGAGGTAAACTGGTAGTCGGCACAGCAGTCCGTGATAACAAAAGTAAAGAACAGTTAGTACACATTATAAAATAATAATTAATATTAACTGATTTAGGAGCTACCTTCCGGAAGATCCTCCAGACATTCAAAAGTTATCTCAAACTGAAAAGGTTTTAAAAACGAGGATGGGTTGTTCAGCACGGTTACATCACATATATTAACAAGAGCCATGTTGAAAATAAACAATCCTGCGCCTTCTCTGACAAATTTGAAGCGAGCAGAATCAGTGAGTTCCCTAAGTAAGCAAACTTGTACTTCACATTGTCCACTTTTGTCTGTAGAGCTAGCTTTTTCCTCTTCGCGCCGAATACACGTAGGCCAGATTTTTGCGGGAAACTGGTAGTTGTATGTTAGTATTGTTATTTACTAGTTCCATGTGTGGGTTGTGCTGGTGATTGTTTGCTAGTTACCCGGAGGGTTCTGCTGGTGATTTTTGTTAGTTCCCCGTGTGGGGTTTGCTGGTGGCTGTTTGCTAGTTCCCAGTGTGGGTTCTGGTAGTTGTTTGCTAGATCCCCTTGTGTGTTGTGGAAGTCTTTTTGCTAGTTCCCCTTGTTGGTTCTGGTAGTTGTTTGCTATTTCCCCGTGTGGGTTCTGCTGGTAGTTGTTTGCTAGTTCCCCGTGTGGGTTGTGGAAGTTGTTTTGCTAGTTCCCTTTGTTGGTTCTTGTAGTTGTTTGCTTTTTCCAATGTGGGTTGTAGTTGTTACTTACTTGTTCTATTTCTGTTATAGTAGTTGTTTGCTAGTTCCCTGTGTCGTTTTGCATGTTTCCCGTGTGGGTTCTACTAGTAGTAGTTTGCTAGTTCACCGTGTGGTTTCTGGTAGGTGGTTGCTAGTTCCCCCTGTGGGTTCTGCTGGTAGTAGTTCTCTAGTTCCTGCGTTAGTTGTTTGCTAGTTCCCCATGGGGATTGTGGTGGTTGTCTGCTAGTTCAGTTCCATGTGCTGATTCTGATAATTGTTCGCTAATTGCCTTGTGGGTTTCGAGAGTGACCGGAATGTCAAGCCTCTAGGTAGCAGCCAGTAAGGAAGGGAGCTGTGGAGGTGGGCGGTGGGGGTATAGTCTGAAACATGCGTAAACAAAACAATTAAAGTTATGACGACAGTCGGTGATTGTAGCGATATCCCGAAACTATGCCAGAATTGACCATGCAGTATTGATGACGCTTCTCTTTGTGTAATTAATATACTAAAATTAATCTATAAATTAAATATGAAATATATGTTATACATTATGTCTTGGTATATTTGTTAAAATTAGAGCACGTAGACAAGGAGTATAATTAGTGCGGAAACATTTTATTCTGATGAAGTCTCAACGAAGCAAAATAACTGGCCAGCGGGCCGGCCACAGCGATGAGTCAGGCACATGTCTAATCTACATTTCTGGAAGTTTTTGTCGAGTTTCATTGCTAACTTTTAATACAGGTTGTATTGTTAGTTAAATAATAGTGACGTGAGCTGCCGAAGATCTGACATCGCGCATGGAAAGAATGATTCCAAGAACTAGTATCGACGAAGCAAACCGACATTTGCAGCAGTTACACAAACGTGTTCACGATCTGGAAATCACTGTTCAAGATCAGCGCGAAGCTTTGATAAACAAGGATAAGCAGCTTCATCATCGACTTACAGAAATTTCTTCAGTTAAAGAAAAAGAAATTGAGGGACTAGCGAATAAACTTTTGGCGTCAGAACGTACGGTTTCTGTGTTGCAAGAAGAACTTGAACGTAAAAATCAACAGATCTTAGGCTTGCAGCATAGTCACTCAAGACTGCGACGTCTGCTTAACTTCAAAGACGACATTAAAGATTTGCTCAAGACAATGGAAGACGCGGAGGAAAATTTAGTGATGGATGAGGGTGATACTGATGGTCTTCTTTCTTTTTATCAGCGTTCACGTGAGGCAGGAGGTAATTACAGTGGTAACCTAAGTGGGAAAAAGATTCGAAAGAAAAGAATGTTACGCAATGAAAACACAATTCCACTTGACACCAATGGGACTCAAAGTGACATGGAAATACCTCCACCTCTTGGAGGAAAGGAATTCTATTTGTGAAGTAGTTCTTAGGACATCACATATTCATCAATATCTCTCTGAATTCTTAACATGTATTAAGCTAGTTTATAAAAAATGATGAAACACCATTTGAATACATTTAGAATAAAAAGAACGTTGAAGGAAATATTCCATTTAAAAAGAAAAAATGAAATATTGAGGCCATATTAAAAACATAACACTTTTAAAACCTTACAGGTGGGGGCAGATGGTCAAAAGAAGGACTGGGATACAAGTGGAAGAATAACATCAAGAGAGAGGTGGACAACAGTGGTAGAGTGCACATTCATGGTGAAAGATGTTGGAAATCCATTGCGGTCAACCTCTGAGGTTTAAAGCTAGGCTGCGATACCTGCTCATATCAACCCAAGACATAAAATTTCAGCAGAAACCTATTTAGTCGCTTTTTATGGCATGCTTTTTTACGGGAGAAGTGGGTTTATTCCACCCCTACCCCAGCAACAACAGAAATGGGCTCACAGAACCAACACAGGACTCATATTAGTCAACACATACTGTTTTCTTTCTTTACTGTTCTTTTTTAAGTTAAGTGACTGAGATGTTTCACTAATTAGTCACAATCTTTCACAGAAGGCATCCATGGGAAACAACAACCACTATAAATGATCATGATGATGCGTTGCTCCTAAACGGGGAAAAACAAACTGTTGAAGTTATCACAGACAAAACCAAGTTTCTTTGCATGCCTTGACTCAGAACAGTTAGATAATGTTACAGAAAAGTTGATATTCAAGGGCAAAAGATAATCACAAATAATGCGCTGCTTGAGACGGAATGAATCAGTCTGGCTGAAATATACATTTCTGAGACATATTTATGAGCCAGTTTATTTCGGTGTTGAAATTGGTAGAATTCTGTGTTTTTTCTTCATCTTGATTCATGGTATTCTTTCTTCTTTGGTGATTGCAAAATAGTCTCAAGTCACTAACATGTCTTTTGATGTCTGTTGACCAAAACAACATAAACTTAAGTAGATTTATTGTAATCTTCATGTAGTAACCTGCGGTTACAATCAAAACATTGACACAGACAAAAAGAGATTTGCTGGTTCTGTGGCATTACATTGTAGTCTACATGTAGTAATAGCAGTTAATGTGCTAGAAATTGTATTTTTTATGATATTGCATATATGGTAATACTTTATGTATGGGTTGGCATTGATTTCAGATTGTTTTGTTTTTTTAAACAATACATTTTGTTGTGATCAAATTATTCATTCTATTGGATAAACATTCATGTCTGCTTGCACGTTTCCATTTTTAAAATATTTTACCTTTCTCTTGTTTGTGATATTATTAATTTAAATATTAAACCTTTTTTTTTTTAAATTATGGCATTTTTTTTAGACTGTTCATTGCGTGTGTTAATTACGTGTGTACATTGTAACATTAAAATCAGGGTTGTCATCTCATTAAATGGAAAAACTGTTCCAGTCGTGTTTAAGTTTTCTTAGACTTTTAATTTGGGTTCTCCTTGCAATAACGGTCGCTAGTTTGGACGGCGACGGTCGCTTCGTCAGAGTTCAGTCCCCTGGCTGTAGTGCAATTACAGAGTGGACAAGGCACGAAACAAAGTCAGTTCAACATGCTCGTTCCGGGCGAGACATGATCAGCTGTAATGCGCGGTGTAATGTACGCGCATGTGGCCTCAGGACAACATCAAACCAGCAGCCGCCAGGATGGCGCTGGTACATCCGACAGAAAAAGTAGCTCCTGTAAAGTGATGATAATTTTTCCGGCGACTATAGTGCCACCTCCGAGTGTATCCCCTGCGCCGCTATGCGCGCCGCGGAGGGGGCTAAACTAGATGGCTAGGACTCACGAGCCGCAGCTCCTGCAGTTTCCTCCAATGTTTTTGCTCGTGAGTCCTAGCCATCTAGTTTAGCCCCGTCCGCGCCACTCAGAGGTGGCACTATAGTCGCCGGAAAATAAGTCAACAATTTACAGGAGCTACTTCGTCTGTCGGACGTACCAGCGCCATCCTGGCGGCTGCTGGTTTGATGTTGTCCTGAGGCCACATGCGCGTACATTAAGCCGATCATGTCTCGCCCGGAACGAGCATGTTGAACTGACTTTGTTTCGTGCCTTGTCCACTCCATAATTGCACTGTAGCCAGGAGACTGAACTCTGATGACGCGGCTGTCGTCGTCCAAGTAGCGACCGTTATTGCAAGGAGAGCCCAAGCCTAATTTTGTTAGCAGGGTCTCCAGGGTATCTTTGACAATGGAGGTCATGGCCATCAAGTCTAGTAACTCCAATGAGTATGTAGGTTTCTTGAAAACCGCATTATCTATCTACTGGGCTCCAGCTGTTCTAGGGACTTAATGTTTGACATAGTTTGATCTATATTTTTTAGTATGGCCCTTGCCTATCATGGCCTTTTCTGGCTAGTGCTCATTTCTGGTGATTACACACCTGTCATTGTTTCAGCTGTCCAGAAAGACATGTGATTTATTTGGAGTTACTTAACCTAAGTGATTTTGTGTGTTCTTTTTCATACTTGTGATATAGTATATTTATGTAGAGGGCTGATGAAGGCTGTCTGGCCATAACATTAACTTGTCATTTGCGTATGTGATAATGTGAAGGTGACTGGTTGTACTTTTTATTTTGTTTTGTCATCTTTTCATAATAAAGTGCAAAGTAGTGTCATCTAATAATAGAAAAATGGGTAGTGTCATCATTACTAAATGTGGTTTATAGTATCTAGCTACTGTGGCAGCCAAATAATGTTATAAACACGAATACTCACAATGATAATGTATTGTTTATTTTCATTGCATGACAAGGCATTCGGGACCAATAATCATTATACTGATTGGTTAAATCCATTATACTAATTTTTAAACTGTTCATTTTATAATAATATTTAATGTATTTTGTTCCCAAATCATATTTTAAAGATTATACATTATTTATGTGAGCGTTTCCCAAGGCGTGTAGCATTACGTCTCTGGGGCAAAGAAAGATACGGGGGCTACATCGGGCCTGCATGCCCAATTTGTAACCCTTTAAAAATATAGTTCGTTCGTTCGAGTCATACGACAGTGAGGTTTTAAATTTGCTTAATATCAAGATAGATATGTTAATGGGTGTACTGAGAATATCTATTAGAGGCACAGTGGTGGTAGCCTGCATAAGTTTGAGAACCTTTTATATGATAAAAGATACAATTATGAATAGGCCTATGTGGCAGAGGGTTAAGCCAACTATATATGGTAGTCATGAATTTATATCATGATTATTAACAGTCTTCTACAAATTGTGACTAAGATACATATAGATTTTTCCCTCTACTTCAACAGTCATACAATCATTTATGACTACGAAGGTTATTTAGTTTTCTTTGGTTCCATATTGTGTGCAAAATTGATGTGCTGTTAAGCAGTTTCTGTTTGTCAGTGAAACTTGAAAACATAGTGGCACACTCCTTGGAAAAAGAGGGACACAGAAATAAAGGCCTGAATGACCTGGCAAAATGGCACAGTTGGGACAAGAACACTGGTGATCATGTGGGGGGGGGGGCATGGTTCCCCCATACAGTTATCATCATGAATGTGCCAGAGTGGTTTAAGCTTACCTGCTGGTGCAAAGGTCATCTAGGGTTCAAATGTCTATTGAGACAAATTAAAAAAAAAAAAATTGTTACTTCTATTTTAAATGACCACATCGCCTCCATTCATCTCTCTGGTTGGCCTTCTCTTTCCAGTTGGTGATATCAAGTATTTGCAGGTCTGTCTGGAGATTATCTCTCCATCTTCCTGTTGGTCTGCCTCGTGGTCTACGACCATTCATCTCCCTCGTGTATAGTTTTTACATTCTGTCATCTGACATTCTTTCCGTATGCCCCAACCATTTCAGTGTATTAGCTCTCATGATAAAATCAGGTGCCAACATTTTTTTTTATTGACTTTGGCTGACAACATCACCCATTGAGTACCGATTGCACCATAAAAAATAAAGGTCTATCACTATGTAACAGATGCGCCACTGTGAACAAAGTGTCTTTTACTTTTTTACTTACAAGGATGTGAAGATTTAGTAATAACAGCAGTTAGTCATTGAAATGTTTATATTGCACTTGCCTGGTGGATGACGTCTCTTCGTTAATTTTTTCATCAGTCATAGTTAAACAGCACATGATTTGAGATAACAGTTTTGTTAAGGATGCATACTTTCTACTCCTTATAACAAGTTTGCCCCCCTGCCTATCATGTTTATTTTTGTCCAGAGGTTTATTCTTACAATAACAACTTTCTCTCATAAATGATTTTCTGTCAATTCACTTTCCATTATTTTTAGAGTACTTGGTATTTGCATATTATTTCATATTTGACCATAATTTGTAGTCTTCATCTGCGTTTACCTTAAAAGGGAGGTTGGCATGTGGTGTCGTAGCTGACATCTAGGCTGCGATATCTACACATTTTGGCCGAACACATTCTATCTATTGTCTACTTCACTTTTACCGGGTTGTAGTCCAGTGTCGTGGTTTAAAATATTTGTTTTGTGCCTCTCGCGTGATTTGAGTGACAGTTTTCTGGATCTTCTGGCCGTATTCAGCTACTCCATTTATCCATTTTTTCCTGGGTCTTCCTCTGACCTTTCTTCCAGATGTTCTACTGTAAAAGGCCTTATAGGCAATCTGATCCGGTTGCATTCTTACTAAATGGCCAAACCAATTCATTCTCTGTCTTTCAATATGTTTTATGCATGTTTCTATTCCAACTTTGTCTCTAATGCTGTCGTTTGTGACTCTTGTCTCTTCGTGTATTGTTGGTGGACTCTTCGGAGACATCGCAATTCACACGTAGTTATTTTTTGCCTAACACATTGTTGTGTGCAAATCCGAAGATCCACACTACGGACAACCGATAATGAACATAGGGTATGAAGACACGACGTCACTTGCCGACAGGAATGTTTAGTAATCATTTACTTGGTAGACCGTACAGAACGGAATAAGCCGTACAGAATGGG